ACCTAGAACTCACTATGTAGACCAGGCTGGCCTCAAACTCACAGGGATCTGCCTGCCTCTGCCTCCCGAGTACTGAGATTAAAGGCATGGGTGACCATGTGCAGCATGGCTTTCCACTATTTATTATTTATTTATTTATTTATTTATTTATTTATTTATTTATTTATTTATTTATTTTGAGACAGGGTCTCCCTATAGCCCCAGCTGTCCTGGAACTATGTAGACCAGGCTAGCCTTGAACTGACAGAGATCCGGCTGCCTCTGCCTCCTGAGTGCTGACATTAAAGGCATGTGCCATCATGCCTGGAAATTTATTTATTTATTGTTTTGGTTGGCTTTCCATTCTTAAAACCTCCCAGAAAATATGACTGGTGTTAAACAGCTCAGGGATGCATCTACCTGCTTTCATACATGCTGTCTATGTTGAGACAACTCTGGTGTCAAACACATAGTCTTCTGAGTTCATGCTCAGCTTAATAAAAGGCTTGGAGCTGGCCTGGGCTACATGAGACCCTGCATCAAATGAACAAATCCTGGGCTGATGAGATATCTCAGTGGGTAAAGGTGCTTGTGGCTAAGCTTTAGAATCTGAGTTTGATCCTCATGACCTATGCCATGTTAAAGATACCTGACTCCAGCAACTTGTTCTCAGACCTTCACATGTGCACCAAAACACATGCATGTCCCCCCAACAGAATAAATTAAAATGAAAATCAGACACGAAAAAGAACTAGATCTCACACAATCTCCAGACTGAAGTCCTTTTTACATATGATCTGGCATTATTGTTAAACACATATTCCATTAGGCATTGCAGACACATGGTGCACTTACATACATGCAGACAAAACACTCATACACATAAACTTTATAAAGGTTGGTGTGGGGGGGGAGAACACGGGACCCTGGAGAGATAGCTCAGTGGTTAAGAGCATATATTGTTCTTCCAGAGGACCTGAGTTCAATTCCCAGCACCCACATCAGGATTCCAGCTCCAATGGATCTGATACCTCTGGCTTCTGTGGGCCTACACCCACATGTGCGCGCACGCGCGCGCGCACACACACACACACACACACATATTAAAATAATTTTTTTAAAGGGCTGAGCAAATCAGGGAACAGGAACGTTGGTCTGTGATCACTTGAGCTCTTTCCCTTAGGTAACTTAGTAATTTTTGTTGTTGTTGTTGTTTGGGTTTTTTTGCTTGTTTTTAGACAGGGTCTCACTATGTAGCTTTATGTAGCCCTATGTAGCCCTGGCTGGTCTGGAACTCACTATGTAGACCAGGCTGGCCTGGATTTCAGAGAGATCCACCTGCTTCTGCCTCCACGCGATGGCTCACCTCTGCCTTTCCCGCTGTCCCACATCTTCAGATCCCCACAGCCTCGTTCTTTGCCCCTGGATCTCCCCAGCTCGTACCTGAAGTCTCAATTTTACCTCCTCCAAGCCTAGGTTCCTGGACCAGCGCTCTGGCGTTTCCGGGTCGTCATAGCAACACCGTTCTCAGGCCCCTGATTGGTCATTATCTTTAGCGCGCCTGCATTGTTTCTGCCAGTGAAATAAGGTGATACGTATTTATCTGTGCCGTGCTTCTCGGAGGCGTACAGCATCGCCATGGCAACGCCATCGTCGCGTAGATTGACCATCAGTTCTGATCTGCCTTCCTTGTTTCTTCCACCAAGCCAGGGGTGGTGATGTAATGCGCTCTGCGGGATCAGTTGCTACATAAGTGGAAGTCCGTAGCTCGCAATACTGCCCCGGATTGGTCCGGATTGGTCCGCGTTGACTCAGGACGTCTCAGTGGTGGCCTGAAAGCAAAGACTCTGACTCAGAATGCCGGGGAGAGCTCCGGTGAAGAGGAAACTGCGGCTGCGAGGCCCGGCTGCTAAGGCTTGTGGTTGAGGTGAGCAGCTTTGTAGAAAGCCTCCTGGAACCCGGTTCTAATCCACGTCCTGCCTCCTGCCCAGCCTCAGTTTCTCCATTTGTTAGTCCGAACATTGTTGCTTCTAAGGTTCAGCCCGTCTTGGCATGACCACAAGAGGACTCCCAATGGCGAGGGACTTGTTTGGTCTGGGTGAGGGGTCTTTCTGACCCTCTTTAGGAAAGGTGGAGGGGGTGGAGAGATGGCTCAGTGGTTAAGAGCATTGGTTGCTCTTGCAGAGGACCTGGGTTTGGTTTCTGGTGCTCACATAGTCTCTTAACAACCTTTAGTAACTCCAGTTCCAGGGGATTTGAAGCCCTCCTCCAGCCTCTGAGGGCCTTGCTCACACATAGGTGCACTTACATACATGCAGGAAAAAAACACTCATACACATAAATATACTTATTTTAATAAATATGAAAAAAAAGAGTGAAAGGTCTGAATTCAAACTTCCTAGGATTACATTACATTCTGTTCTGGTTGAGAGGCAGAGGCAGAGGCAGGCACATTTCTGTGAGCTCCAGGACAGCCAGGGCTACATAGTGAGACTCTGTCTCAAAGCAACAAAGTGAGCCCGGGGAAGTGGCCTAGCCCTTTAATTCCAGCACTTGGGAAACAGAGGCAGGTGGATCTCTGTGAGATCAGTGCTAGCCTGGTCTACATATTGAGTTCCAGGCCAACTCTGGCTACAGGGACACCTGACTCAAAACAAAAACAAAAAAAGTAATAAAAATAGATAAATAAAAACAACAAAAAAGAAAAAGAAATAAAGGCCAGTATAATAGAACCTCTGTTTCCCTCCTGATGTGAGAAGAGATCTAGGGACAGGGCTTGGAAAAGGCTGGAGGAACTGGGGCCCCATGACCATGATAGGTGAGGTTGTATCCAGAATGACAGAAATGTCTGCTAAGCTCCTCCTCTACCTCCTTCCGTCTGACCTTATTTCCAACATGCCTTGACACTCCCCTTGTATACTGAAGTCACCCAATAAATACTTGTGGATGGCCAAGTTCTCTTCAACTAAAGGTTTATTTTCATCCATTTTACAGAAAGCCCAAGGCCTGACTGACAGATAGGGCATATCTGGTAGACACTGAAGTTGCCCCCACCTCCTGGAGTGGAAGGCACTGTGATCTCAGAGAAGGAGCAGGCCTGGAGCAGTGTCAAGGCTGGGGAGGGTGGTCTGTGTCTGTAAGCATGAGGTGGGCAGAAGAAAGGTGCAAGTCCAAGAAGGAGATGGTTGAGTTCGCAAGATGGCTCAGCAGGTAAAGGCAATGACCTGAGTTCCCTGGAATCCACGTGGTGTAAGGAGAAAACCTACTCCCACAAGTTGTCTGATGACCTCCACATGCATGCCATAGCATGCACACACACACATCATCATCATCATCATCATCATCAATATAATTTTTTTTAAAGAACATGGGCTGAAATTTGTGGGCAGGGGCAGGAGGAGTAAACCACCCCTCTTATTCTGTCTCATGCATTTTCTTTTCTACATTTATTTAAATACTTATTTTTATTTTATGAGTTTGAGTGTTTGCCTGCATGTATGTAAGTGCACCCGTGTCATGCACTGCCCATGGAGGACAGAAAAGGGTGTCAGATCCTCTGGAACTGGAGTTACAGGTGGTTGTTAGCTCCAAGTGGGTGCTGGGAACTGAACTCTGATCTTCTAGAGCAGCCAGTGCTCTTAACCACTGAGCCATCTCTCTACCCCTATGTGGTTTCTTGAAGCCCTTTGTGGGCAGTAGAGAGAGAGGCACCAAGGTAATAAGCAGTAGAGATGCTTAGTAACCCACAGGCCCTTCCACTAGCCCCTTTTTAGAGAGGAAGAGAATGAGACCCCAGGTTTCTAGCTGGAGTTGGGGGTGGGGTGGAGAACCATCATATCACCTAGGAGGCAGCAGGTTAGGACTGGGTGTGAAGGGCCTTCAGCCGCTACCCAGCCTCCAAGCTGTCCACATACTTTGTGAAGGCTATGCCAGCTCCAGATAGAGCTTTGGGGGTTCCCTCCTCCAGGCAGCACTCCTAGGCCACCCTCAGGCTGAGCATCGCTTGCCCATCATATGTGATGCCCTGGGCTCAATCCCCAGTACCCTATACAAAACACACACACACACACACACACACACACAAAACCTTGAGATGGGTAATTATCTTGGATTATCTGATTAGTCCAATGTTCTCCTAATGTCCTTATAAGTGAAAGGATATTGCTGGCATGGTGGTACATTCCTTTGATCCCAGCATTCTCTGAGTTTGAGGATACCTTGGTCTGCATAGTGAATTCCAGGACAGACTGGGCTACATAGTGAGCTCCTATTTCAAAAATAAAACAATGGCCAGGCATAGTGGAACATGCCTTTAATCCCAGCAGTCAGGAGGCAGAGGCAGGTGGATCTCTGTGAGATTGAGGCTAGCCTGGGCTGCATAGCAAGCTCCAGACTAGTTGGGGCTATAGGGAGACTGTCTCAAAAAGCCAAAAAATAAAATATAAAAAAAATAAAAGCCGGATGTGGTGGCACATGCCTTCAATCTCAGCCCTCAAGGAAAGATAGGCAGGAAGATCTCTGTGAGATCAAGGCCAGCCTGGTCTACATAGTGAGTTCCAGGACGGCTGGGGCTACAGGGAAACCCTATCTCAAAAAAGACATAAATAAATAAATAAATAAATAAATAAATAAATAAATACTATAGTAGGAAGGTCAAGGAAATTTGGAAATGCTCTGTTGCTGGCTCTGAAGGAACCAGAAGCAAGGAAGGCAGCTCTAGAAGCTAGAAAATCTAGGGAAATCGGTTTTCTTGTAGCTTCCAGAAGGAAATAGGACTATTGGCTCCTCCATTTTATTGGCTGGTTGATTGATTTTTATTTTGAGACCGGGTCTCATGTAGCTCAGGATGACCTCAAACTCACTGTGTAGCTGAGGATGGCCTTGAACAACTCCTTGTCCTCCTGCCTCCACCTCCCAGGTCCTGGGATTAGTCCCTGTGGGTGACAATGGTATCCGGGTGTGATCCAAGAACCGGTCTAGGAAGACACACCCTTGGATTTCCTGACGTTCTTCCTCTTGCTTCCCACTTGGATGCAGCATCTTGTACCTGAGCTATTTCTATAGACATTCTTGGGCTCAGGGCAGCTGGGAGCCAGCAAGCCTAGGGGGCCCATGGCCATTTTCAGGCTGCTTCTTCCCTTGGTCATCTGTGATGCAGACTCCTCAGCAACCATTCTGAATCAGTTGCATGCTGGGAACACACATGTAAACAAATCACACAGGAGCCTCCAGTTGGACAGAAGTCACACATTTCATTCTGGAAAATGCTCGGTGCCCACCCCTAACACACAGCCCCTCATGCCAGGTGAGGTCAGTCTGTTCAGAGTAACCACCCTCTCTCTGTTTCCCTTCCCCAGCTTTGGGACTATAAGCCAAGACTTGTGGGAGGAAGACAGGAGCCACCTTCCATAGAGGTGGATACTGGAAAGGCTTCAGCTGAGGCACAGAAGGGAAGCTGGACAGGGTTGGTGGAGCCCCCCGAGGAGGAAAGAATGGGGGCGATGGAGCTTAAGCAGGGAAGGGACCAGTATCTCTTGCTAGCCAGGGAGATCCAGGACCTCACTCTATTTCGTGTTTCTGTCTGAACCATAGGGTGGCCTTGACCTCTCTCAGTCATGATGACCACACCTGTTCCATAATGTATTGGGAAGGTCTTAGAAGCCAAGATTCAGAGAGGATGTCAAGATTCCCAGAACAGTTCAGGATTTAGGTCCTCAAGTGGGAGCCTGTCTTCAAATGTCAAGGCCTTCCCTAACCTCCCTAACCCCAGTCAGGCCATCCCTGCCCACTTCATAGCCTGTATCCCAGCCAGGTATGTAGGGTGTTGGAATTCAGACTGGCTGTGTAGGAGGCAGTGGACCCTGCCAGTGGGCAGAGAGGAACTTCAGCAGACAGTAATAGTAACAGCAGGTTTACTCTGCCAAGATGGGGGGGTACCAGCTGCCTGGATTGAGCCCAAAGAATGAGTGGATCAGAATCTTCAGTCCCAGAGCTAGCCGGAAATGTTCCCCCCAGGGGGCTGTGGTGGTGATGATGACTTTGACTGCCCTTCAGGATCAAGGCTAAGGGTGCCCTGTCAGACCCCCTGTATGGATGTCAGTGGAGGAGAGGTCAGCTCAGCTGGACTTTCACCAGAATGAGGACCCCGGATTTCCCAACTAGACCCACACAGGAATGAGGTTCAGAAGTGATCCCTCAACAGGACCATTACAAAGATCATGGCCAAGGAACATTCAGCTGGATGGCCATGGGAATCAGTCAGATGTAATCTCCAGGTTGACTCCTGTGGGAATCAATGTTCGCGGAGGATTCTTGTGGTTCGGTCAAGGGAGTTCATGCCTTCCCAGGCACCAATCTGGAGAAATGGGCGTTTTTGGTATGCATTCCGTTAAGGCCCTCCAGGGTGGCACAGAGGACCCTCAGGCAGACCTCAGATGGACACAGAGGGCTTGAAGCACCAAGCCTTTTACTGCAGCGACCACACCCTCCTCCGGTCCCCAGCCTGCAGGCCCCAACCAAGGTCCGTCTCAGATGTTTGATCCAATGGTGTGTCTGGTGTTCTCTCTGCCTCTGCTGGATCCTCTGCAGCCTCCTCAAGCTCCAGCGTGTCCTTGGTAGCCTCTGGCAGGATGTCGTGCAGGTCACGGTCTGTGGGGCGCGGCGTCCAGGCTGGGGTCCAGGGCACCACAGGGGTGGGACGGGACGGGAGCCAGGAGAAGCCAGGTGCAGGGGCCAGCGCCACGATCTGAGGCCGCGCGGGGCTGGTGGAGGTGGCATGAGGGATGAGGAAGAAGATGTAGACACCAGAGACCACGAGGCCCGCAGCCACCAGCACGGCCAGCGCCACGGCAGCATTGAAGGCCCAGGCGGGGCTGCTCAGGGACAGGCGCCGCGATAGCGGCCGTCCGAGGCGCAGCGGGGGTGGCGGCGGCGGGG